AGAGTACTCTGAATTCAAATCCTAGTTACTACCCATACCAAAAGAAACCTATTATGCTGCTTGCCACAAGCAATCTGAAAATATTTAAAACATTCAGCAATACAGGGAATAAGACTGTAGAAATATGTAAAAAAGTAGACAAAGTATACTAAATATGTTTCCATTAATTTTTTTTTTTTTGGTTGGTCATGGGGCTTGAACTCTGAGCCTGAGCACTGTCCTTCCGCTCTTCAGCTCAAGGCTAGCCCTCTACCACTTGAGCCACAGCGCTACTTCCGGTTTTCTGGTGGTTTATTGGAGATAAGAGTTTCACAGACTTTCCTGCCTGGGCTGGCTTTGAACCATGATCCTCAGATCTCAGCCTCCTGAGTAGCTAGGACTACAGGCGTGAGCGTGAGCCACCGTCGCCTGGCTCAGATGTAGCAATTTTAAGACAAAGTATTTTTCACTTTACAGCAGCTCAAGAAAAAATGTAACAGAAATGCATAATAAAAGAAACCTGAACTGAACCCAATAATACTTCATGCTGCCATTACTAAAGCCAAAGGAAGATTAATCAATTGTTAATCAAAGTATACTATTAGACCAATGCCTGACACTACCACACTGAAGGCAGTTAAAGTGCAAAGAAAAAGGTCACCTCCAGTAGTATTCACAAGGTAGAACTCGCGGCTAAAATATGAGAAAAGCTAAACTAATAATAATAATGATAAAAGCAGCACAGAGAGTAGGCTTTAAGGAGTGATGAAGGACAAGATATAAGCCTTGAGGGCAGTACATGAAGCATTCGCAGCTGCCTGGAGTGGAATCATTTGCTTCACTGCTTTTAACCGATTATTCTTCCTGCACTGTATTTTTAGAGTCTTCTGCATTGCTTGAATTACTTTGTTTTTAAATATCTGGACTGCAATGGGTATTTAATATTCAGTAGGAGACTCAAATCTATTAATATGTTCCACTGCTAAAGGTCTGCTGATTGAACAGAAAATAGCAGGCCATTCTCCCTTTAAGAAAGATAGATTTATGGGCTGGGAAGGTGGCTTAGTGGTAGAGCGCTTGCCTTGCATGCCTGAGGCCCTGGGTTCGATTCCTCAGCATCACATAAG